ATAATCAATGTAATGAAACAAGCTATATGAATGGTTGAATGTGAAGCTGATGATGTGCCCTGTAAACTTTCACTCAATCCAAAATAAAAACATTTAATTAAAAAAAAAGAAAAAGAAAAAAAAGTGAATGAAGGTCAAATAGTTTTTTTCAAATAAAACAAAACAAAAATGATGGAATTTATCACTGGTAGAATTGCCCAAGTTATTCAGACAGAAGGAAAATCACATAGGTCAGAAACCCTCACCTACATAATTAAAGGACTACATTTGTTGTTGTTAAGTAAGTACCGAGGAGTCAGTTCCGACTCATAGCGACCCTGCACAGGGTTTCCAAGACTGTAAATCTTTACGGGAGCAGAAAGCCTCATTTTACTGCCACGGAATAGCTGGTAGTTTCGAACTGCCGACCTTAAGGTTAGCAGCTTGATTCGTAACCATGCTACGAAGAATAATAATAGTATAATATAGTCATTTTTCTTGTTCTTAATTGATCTAACAGATAAAGGTTTGTACAAAATAATAGCAACAATGTCTTCAGACATAACAGCTTCTGGCTAAGTGAGATGATTGGCAGCAGTGCTGACAGGATTGGGGGAGGGCTGGGGACTACTCTGGATAATATACTTGAACTACCCACGAGGCAGTACAAAGCTAACTTGGATGTGTATGGTATTACAAACTCTAAAGCAACCATTAAAAACACGTAAGTAAACTTGATATGCTAGAAGAGGACAGAAAATGGAATCATATGAAAGTCTCTATTAAAATCAGAGAAGGCAAGAAAAAAGTAGAGAAGCCCCCCTCCCCCCCAAATTATGTCAATAATCACTTTAAGCCGGAATCGTCTAAATATACCAATTTAATTTCAGATAAAGCAGACTGGAAAAGCTACACTGATTTCAGATAAGTATAATGATAAAGGGGTGAAGACATAAGAATTCTCAGACTGCACCTAGCAAGAAAGCATCAAAATATGTGAGGTAAAAACTGATAGAACTGCAAGGAGAAATATACAAATCCACAAATTACAGCTGAAGACTTCAACAACCTTCTATAAGTAATCAACAGATCAAGCAGGCAGAAAATCAGTCTGACAGAGTTGAACTCAACAGCATCATAAATAAATTGGATCAAATAGACATCTTGGGAAAAAGATGAGGCTTTCTGCTCCTGCAAAGACTGACAGCCTTGAAAACCCTACCCAGGATGGCTAAGAGTAGTAACTAATTACAATGCACTTAACCACAATAACTGACATTTATAGAATACTTTTTATCCAGCAGAAGCAGAACATAGATTCTTCTCAACATCACATGCAAAATTCAGAGACAGGTCACATGCTGGGCTGTAACGCACACCTGAGCAAATTTAAAAGAGAAATCACACAAAGTATTCTCTCAGACTATAATGGAATTAAGCAAGAAATCAAAAACAGTAAAATAATTGGGAAATCCTAAAATATCTTGTGATGAAACAATTCACTACTAACTAGCAAACTGGTTAAAAGAAGTTTTTGTGTGTGTGTTTTTAAATCAAGACAAATTTTGAAATTTGCAAATTCAAGAACATCTGTGGGAAGAAATGGAAACAGTGCTTAGAGGGAAATTTATAACCTGAATATATATAAAGAGAAATCTAACATTAATGTGAACTTCCACTTTAGACAACTAGAAAAAGAGCAAATTAAATCAAAAGCAAGCAGAAGAAATAATCCACTTATAGCCAAAATCAATGACATTGCAAGCAGGTAACCAGTAAGAGAAATGTAAAACTTAAAACTACACAGATCATCAATGAAAAAATAGGGACCAACTTAGGAGCTTTAATACATGGCATAAACACACTATCAAACATAACTGAAAGTACACCAGCAGAAGACAAAATAAATGACTCAGACCTCCTAAAAATTTGTCACTTATGTACACCAAAGGATTTCACTAAAAGAATAAAAAGAGAACACACAGACTGGGAAAAAATGTTTGGCAACGACATATCAAAGAATTAATCTCCAAAATTTATAGAATACTTCAATGCCTCAACAAGAAGACAAATAATCCAATTTTAAAATGGGCAGAGGACAGGAGCAGACACATCACCATAGAAGACATTCAGGCAGCCAACAAACACATGAAGAAACGCCTTTATTGTTGTTGTTGAGTGCTCTTGAGTCAGTTCTGACTCATAGTGACCCGGTATAGTATTTCCAAGGAGCAGCTGGTGGGTTTGAACTGCTGACCTTGTAGGATCAACATCACACCAGGAGTCCATTAGCTTTTGTTGTTGTTGATTATATGTCCAAAATATAAGCGACATGGGTTTGAACTGCTGACCTTGTAGGATCAACATCACACCAGGAGTCCATTAGCTTTTTTTGTTGTTGATTACATACATATCCAAAATTTAAGAAACAAAGTCTTGCCACATGGCTTCTAAAGGGCATTCTGGCTCTACTTCTTCCAACACAGATTTGTCTGTTCTTTTGGCAGTCCGAGGTATTTTTAACATTCTTCTCCAATGCCATAATTCAAGTGCATTGATTTTTCTACAGTCTGTCTTATTTCTTGTCCAGCTTTCCCAGGCATATGAGGGAACTGAAAACACCATGGCTTGGGTCAGGCACACCTTAGTCCTCAAACATAATCTTTGATCTTGAACACCTTCAAGAGGTCTTTATCAGCAGATTTGCCTAACACAATATGTCATTTGATTTCTTGACTGTTGCTTCATAAGTGTGGACAGTGGATCCAAGCAAAATGAAGTCTTTGACAACTTCAATTATTTCCTCTATTTATCATGAAGTTATTGGTTCAGTGGTGAGAATTTTTGTTTTCTTTACATTGATGCACAATCCATGCTGAAGGCTGTTGTTTTTTGATCTCTATCAGTAAGGATTTTAAGTCTCCTTGATTTTCAGCAAGCAAGGTTGTATCATCTGCTTATAGCAGGTCGTTAATTCCTGATGCTACGTTGTTCGTCGTTCATCGTCTCCAGCTTCTCAGATTATTTGCTCAGAGTACAGAATGAATAAGCATGGTGACAGGATACAACTTTGGTGAACACCTTTTCTGATTTCAAACCATTCAGTATCCCCTTGTTCTGTTCAAACAACTGCTTTTTGGTCTATGTACAGGTTCCTCCGGAGCACAGTTAAGAGTTCTGGAAAACCCATTCTTTGTAATGTTATCCATTGTTTGTCATGATCTACAGTTGAAATCCTTTGCATAGTCTAAAATGTACAAGTAAACATCTTTCTGGTATTCTCTGCTTTTAGCCAAGATCCACTGAATGTCAGGAATGATATCCTTAATTCCACATCCTCTTCTGAATCAGGCTTGAGTTTCTGGCAGCTTTCTGTTGATGTACTGTCATAAAACTTTTGGAATTATCTTTAGAAAACATTTACTGGGATGTGATATTAATGGTTTTCACATTCTGTTTAGTCACCTTTCTTTGAAATGGGCACAGATATGTCTCTCTTCCAAACTATATTAATACTGTAGACACAACATTTTACCAGGGAGTGAAGGGAGACAAGAGGAGAAAAACACATACAGGGGTTCCCATCTAGACACAAAACTTTCCACAGAGATACAAAAGTTTACGTTACATTATGCATAAAATTCTTACCCAACTGAAATTCTGTCTTAGGCTTAATGGGTGGAAGTTTATATTGCCATTCATAAGTATTTGGATAGGTGCTCACTGGTTTAGAAAGTCCAGATAAAAGCTTCAGAATCAAAGTGTTATCCCATGGGTTTTCAACAATGAAATCTTAAAAAGAATGGGAATAAAACAGGAAAAACAAATTAAGTAGACAGTCATTTTACCATAGAAGTTATAGATAAAAAAAAAAAGGTGGAGCCATCCATTAAGCTTTCAAAAACCTTATCCTTTCAAGGATTGTTGTTTAAAAGTCAAGATTGGTAGTGCTTAAAAAAAAAAAAAAAAAAAAAAAAAAACAAAAACGGTAGTCTGTGCAGTCGATCCTTTGCCATTTTAGATATACAAATTTAGACCCTTATTTAATTATGACAAAGGACAGCAGCACTGGGAGCTGTGGGGGTGAGGGGGTGATTAACCTGTTTTCTGTTGTGCTGCTGCAGAACCATTTGTTCTGCTCACCTGGAAATGCAAGATCCTGCCTTGAACACAATTATGGGATATATGGGTCATAGGCAGACTGGGGCTTTGCATCTTTGGTGTGCTCAGACATCTATGCATCTTTTCAGTTGCTGTTCTACTTACACGCACAAAGCATACTGCATCTTAATATTTACATTACCTTCATGCAAACAGTATGAATGAGATTTACATATTGGTGGGACCACAGAAGGGAAATTATTTCTAAAGGGACAAGTATGCATGATATGAATAATTACATATCCTGTGTTTTTTAAATATATCACAACATGAATTACCAAAACTGTAAGTGACAAAAAAGCCTGAAAAGAAATAATAAGTTCTGACTGAAGAAAATGTGTCTTTCCAATGTAGTTGTTGTTAAGTGCTGTCAAGTCAGTTCTAACTTATAGTGACCCTGTATAGGGTTTCCAAGGAGTAGCTGGTGAGTTTGAACCGCTGACCTCGTGGTTCAAACCAACCTTGCAGTCCAGTGCTTTATCCCACAGCGCCACACCAGGACTCCTTCAATGAAGTAGCATTTAATATTAACATTTAATATTAAATTATATTATTATATTTAATTTTTATTTA